TTTAATAAGAGATGAAAATGAGAGCTAAATGATTGAAGGTTGCCCAAAGTCACCCAACAGTTGTTAGAAAAATTATAATTAGGATCAGTTTTCTTTTGATGATTGAGAAGAGTGGAGCAATGAAAATTGAGTGCTTACCAATTTTTCCCCTACCAAGGTGGAATATATAAATTGTAAGGTAGTGTCTTAATTCTCTAGTGCTGCAATCACAGAAATATCACAAGTGCATCATTTTGACAAACAGGAATTTATTGTCTTACAATTTAGGAGACTGGAAGTCCAAATTCAGAGTGCCGGCTCTAGGGGCTGGGTGAAGGCCCCTTGACCTTGGGCTTCAGCTCTGCCTCTTGTTCCAGGCCCACTGGAGCTGGAGCCATCTCCTAACTCAGGCAGCTGCTGGATGCTGAGGCTGATGAACCCAAGGATGGCAGGTAACATGGCACAGTTGTGAGATCAGCAGGCAACATGGCAGGCCACTGGTTCAAGTCCAGGAATTGGAGATGAAGACTCGGCTAAATGCAGGATCCAGACTATGCCAAAATGCTGGAGATCTTCTTCAAAGCTTCTGCATATACACTGGATACAGGCCACACCCTGAAGGCAACTATTAAGCTGCTCACAGCAGATTCCACCATGGAGGTGATTACAATTTCAGCATGGGGTTTAACTCTATCCAGCTGTCAAGCATTCAAAAACATGGCCCAGCCAAGTTGACAAACAACCTTAACTAGCACAGATAGAATCACCACTGATCAGAGTGACACAATTGGTAGTCCCTTATATTGAATCTTTCACAAGAATTTGTTCTTTAAGCTCATTCATATCATACCCTGATTATATTATAATAATTTGTTCAGTTCTCTGCCTCTTCCATCTTACTCTAATATCCCAAGAAGTTTAATATATTTTTAAATATAGGCCTACCACATGTAACAAATATATAGAAACTGATGAACAAGATATCACGGTTTTCTGTGTAGGGAAAGCAAGAAAATCAGCTCAGTTACACTGAGGTACATGCCATGTGAATGTTATGATGTGCTGCAGGAACTCAGAGAAGAGACATAACTTGGTATGTGGGGGAAAAGGAAGCAGGTAAATCCTTGAAGTGACCCCTACTAAAAATGAAACAAAGGGATGGGGGAAAGGGTGAGTAAAGTGTCTCAGGACCCAATCTTTTTTTTTTTTTTTTGGCCTGGAGATGAGAACTTAATATATGTTAGGAGCAAGAAGAAGTCCAGTGTTGGATGGATCAGAGCCAATAGAAGAAGGGAGATATGTCCAGAGGAAAAGGCACCTCATGAACCCCAGTTAAGAACTTTAGATTTGCTCCTAAGGGCAGAAAATATTTTAAGCAGTTTGATGATCACATTTGTGTTTCTCACTCTGGACTTTGTCTCCCTTCAACTTATTCTCCATGGTGAGCTTGCATGAAGCATCTTAGAAGTCAAACATGGACAGTTACTCCTAATCTGGAAATCAGTTTCAATATTCAGACCTGTGGAAAATTTAAGAGTAGCCATTTTTTAAAATGTAA